GGAGAATCAGAAAGAGACATTTTTGCCCAAGAGGACTACTCGATGTACCTGTGCCACATTTTATCGTGGCACAGGTACATCGACGATATCCTCATTTTATGGTCAGGTACCACCCAGGTACCATACTCTCTGTATGTATAATGTACTATTGTGCTGCTGTATAATGTAATATTGCTAGGATTTATTGTATTCCTCTATAGCTGGTGGTATTCTGCATTGCGCTGTATAATGTATTATTGCTGGGATTTGTTGTATTCCTCTATAGCTGGTGGTATTCTGCATTGCGCTGTATAATGTATTATTGCTGGGATTTGTTGTATTCCTCTATAGCTGGTGGTATTCTGCATTGCGCTGTATAATGTATTATTGTTGGGATTTGTTGTATTCCTATATAGCTGATGGTATTCTGCATTGCGCTGTATAATGTATTATTGCTGGGATTTGTTTTTTCCCCTCTATGGCTGACACTGTCCTTCCTTCTGGAGGGTGGCTACTTTTGTTCCCCATGGTCCCTGTGTGTGTTGTAAAGTAGTCACCGCTCCAAACTTGCTCCCGTGATGGACTACAATCTCAATACAAACTAGTAGCTCATCACTTGAGCCATCTTTTTTTTTAAATTTAGAATTATTTTTATCCGATTAATCGATCTTAATAGTCAGTTATCTAATCAATTTTGAAAATAATCGTTAGCTGCAGCCCTAATTCCTATGCTCCTTGGTTCCATCTAGTGGCCATAATGGGGTATTTTCCTAAAACTATATGAAAGTAAATATGCTAATGACATTCACTTTTGCTTCAGTTACACAAAACAAATGCACATGCAATTTCCTTGAGAGAGGGTTAAGTTTTGAAAGCACTGCACATTGTATATCTCTTATGTGTAAGTACAGGCATGTTGCTGGTAGTCATCAGACGTGACATAAATTCTCACCTTGTTCCCCAGTATCGGAGGCTCCTGACTCAGACTCTGAGTTCCTAATTCGCAAAGTGACTCCGGCTTTTTCCTTGACTGCAGATAGGCCATGACCTGTTCACAAAAATACTCATTTTATTTCTTATCTAGTTATACATTAAATATCTTTCAGCCTAACAGACACCACAGGATCTGACTCGTGCAATAATAGTCCAAACTGTTTTTTTTTTTGTTTCCGTTTGGAGAAAAGATAAAACCTGTTAAATTTTTATTGCCATGTGTGGCCTTGTTGTGGAGATTTCCACTTACTGCTCGTTCTGCTGACTCCGTGCCACATCTTAAAACAAATCTATGCTTGTATGACCATGTAGAGATAGAGGGTCATGAAAGCCTGGTGAGTGCAGGGCAGTGTTGTTTTCACAGGGAGAGTGACACCTGCGGTGGTTAATTGTGGATCATCAGAATATTCTTTGAGGGCCTGTTCACATGAGTTTCAGGTCCGGATCAGGTGCGGATCTGCAGACGCGGTGCTATGTGTTTTTGCCGCGTTTTTGATGCGTTCCAGTTAAAAAATTTTTTTTTTTTGCTGGAGTCAATATGTTAGCTGCAGTGCAGTGCGTTTTTGTCGCGTTTTGTGTTTCCGGACCGTACAAAATGTGACATGCAGTATTTTTCTGGCGTAACCTGAACGCACTGCGGACGTGAGAACTGTAGCCCATAAAACACATAGGGATACATTGGGATGCATTTTTAGTGCAGGAGCGAACAGGCCCTGAGTACTGGGCATTGATTTTCACTGTGGTGGAAAACTGTGGAATGATTATACAAGATACATCGAATTTATGTGTTCAGCACATGGACACTTAAATGCTATTATGATTTGTTGATGGCACTATTTTTAATATTATAATGATTATTTTATATAAGGATTTTTTTCACTATTTAAATTTCCTATGATGAATTATTGATATTATATCTCTGTTATGTGATATATTTATTAAGTCACGAGGTTCACAAATTTACAATTAGCGCTGTGCACTTTTTAAGATATATGTTATGAATACTTGACTCAAAATACTGAGAATCACCTTACCTACAGTTGCACTAGCTGATGATAAGAGGGATTTGCCCCATGTTCCCCAGGTAGACCAGCTACTTCCTTTTTCTGCACCATCTTCATCCTAAAAGAGTTAATAGAAGTATTACTTATGGCCCACGCCTTCACATTTTGGGGTTTTTCATCATTTTAATGGACTATCAACGCACCAGAACATAAAAAGAAAAACTAAACACAGCAGTGTATTCACATGCTTTACAGGGACTCTTTAGCCTCGCTGTCAATGGACAGTGCTCTACGGTGTGTTGCCTTGGCAATGAATGGCACCGCAATGCATTAAAACAGAAGGCTTTTTTAAGAGGGACTAAAGAGTCCCTGTAAAACTGTAAGTAGGAGCCAAGAGCTTCACCTGTGGGCTGAATATAATTTTTTTTTACATATGACTACATAACAGTTCATATTTTCCTGACCAAAAAGTGAGCAGAAATATTTTTTTAAATATTATGCTGTGGTTTTTATCATGAAAAATTAAATCCTACACATTCCTTTTAACTCATTTCCATTTTCGTGAGCTGATCCAGAAGAAGGCAAAAAAAGTATTTAAAGAAATAAATCACGTTTTATAAGGATTTCTGACTTGCTTCCAACTGCAGGATTTGGGGCTCTGAAGTTTAAAGATGAGTCGATGGATTTATGTTTATTATTGTTTTACATTTTTGGTTGAATTTAATAGACATTTGTCAATTTAATATGGAGAATTGATCTGGAGCTCACAACATCTTCTGCTAAAACCAGAACACACAGTGAACACTTGCACATATACAATGTAGACAAATGTACATTTTTCATTTGGGATTTTGCTCAATCTAATCTAAACTTAAAAGGACAACTATGAGGTGAGTGCTTTTCACTCACCTCATAGTTCTAGCTGACCTGTGACAATGAGACTGTCACAAGTCGGCTCAGTAGATCGGGAGGTGAGCGAACACATACCGGCGTTCGCTCACTTCTCGATCCTGTCACGGCTCTCTGCCGTGACAGGGGAGTGACTGGATTCCCCCCTCCCCACTCCGATCCGCCATCGCTGAGAGAGGGCTGGTACAGATAGGCAGAGCCAGCTGTCACTCACGCAACTGGGCGGATCCAGACATAATTGCCGGGATCCAGCTTCAGCTGCGGCGTCTCAGTATATCACGGTATACTGAGCTTTGGGTGACGGAAGGACGCTAGTTTGTGTCCTCCCGTTACACTAAGGAGAACTATGGGGAAAAGCCCTAACCCCATAGTTCTCCTTTAAACAAGGAAACTTCCCTTCTTGCTGAACTAATCTTCAAAGCTACACTGAGCTATAATTATACAAAATGTTCCTGACGTTTTCATTGTAATGTTACTTTTCCCATATTAGAGTGACAATGTTATAAAACCAAGTTATTTCTATAATAAATGATATTAAGAGAGAAAACAAAAGGATGACATACGGGATGGTCAAGGTCTTCCGGATTGTCTGTGACTTCGGATGCTAGCTCTAAGCTCAGCGATTCACAAAGTTCCTCAGGGCTTATTTGGGTTTGCCCTTCTTGGTGGACTTGTTCTTCGGAGTCTGGAGCTGACTCCTTAAAGGATGTCTTGGGCTCTTGACTGCTCTGTGTGCTTTCTTGGGGTGTGGATTTGCCGTCTTCACTTAGTACCAGGTCTGAGATCTTCTCTACAGCCGTCTCAGGGTTATCCTCCTCTGTTTTACTTTCCTCGCTCGACATTTTGACTTTAGGTAAGAAAGACATATGTGATAAAGTAACCATGCAAAATATTACAACAAAGCATTGAAGGGTAGGTGCGTGCAGTTGTACAAAGAATCCCTCCCTGCTGCTTCTTTTATCTGTATACCTCAGATAAAGACTCACTGCCGTGCTTTGTCCAGGTTTTGGGACTGTTCACAGGTATTGTGGCTATGCTCTTACATCTGATACATCTGCCATTTCTGGCCATAAAGAGTGATGGTTGTCCCTGGAGTCACTCTGAAAACACATGTGCAAGATGTAAAAGAATAGCTGCAGCACCAAAAGAGGGGAGGAAGGTCTGCATCAGAGGTCTGTAAAAACATATTATACCTTGATGAAGAAGGATAAGGGTGGGATGAATACAGGGATTTTGGTAAAACCGCACTTTGCCTTTGGTTGTTCTTAAGGTTGTGGAAGATTAGCATTGTTTTACTGCTCTGTAAAGGACAGGTGCACTTTAAAAGGAAGGTCATGGCAAGAACGTTCCCCTTCACCCTACTTATCAAAACGTTAAAAGAGAACTATGGCGTAAGTGTTTTTCCCCACAGTTCTCTTTAGGGTCACGGGTGGACATATACTAGCCTCCTCCCCTGACCCAAAGCTCAGTATAAAATGTAGAAAAATGTCACCAACACACCATGAGTTGAAAAAGCAAAATATTTTATTGCCAATAGCTGTATCTCATTGGCAAGCGCTTTCGGGGCCTCGCAGGGTCCCCTTCATCAGAAGGGGACCTCAAAACTGGATTTTGAGGTTACCAAACTTCACATCTAAATCTGCTCATATACATATAGTATTTTCTTGTTCAGCCTGCGGACTGAACGCGAGAAAACTGCTCGATTCCTCCGTTCATGCTAAACAGCATGGCTATTAGGGAATCTCCCCTGTTATCTATTGTATTCAGACAGCCGGCACCTGGAGCTTTCAGAATACCCAACCAGGGACTTGAACAGTAACAGCAGCCGATTGGCTGCCCTCACTATTCGCCTGACAATTCTCTATCCAGCACCTTTGATTTTCTGATCGAAGGATGTCGGATGGAAAGGTGCAGAAAAGGCGCAACCACTGAAGGAAGCTGGAAGCATGGGTCAATCACAATGTAAACAATAAGTATCAAACAAACAAAGGTACTTTCTGAACTGAGAACACATTACCTCTTCTAAGGCACAAGTCTGCCATCATTTTCTAGATACCTTGAATACATACTGTACGGCCAAAGCACTGCCATAGAAGCTTGTACAACTGTCTGTCTACTGCATAACTATGTACTACTATGTACATAATATATATACAGTATACAGTATATGTATATATATTAAACAATTTGTATGTATGTATATAGAGGTCAGGAAACGGTCAGGATACGCAAACAAATCAAAAACGAATCAAAAACGCACTGCGCTGCAGCTAACATACTAACAGCCCCACTTTTTTTGCTGGAACGCATCAAAAACGCGGCCAAAAACGCAATGCATCAGCAGCTCCACGTCTGCTGATCCGGACCTGATCTCATGTGAACAGGCCCTAAAAGGCCAATGAGTTTCTGGCTGCCTGACAGACCTTTGCATCCTTCATCCAGTGCTGCACTGACGTGTCTGGATTCTGAGTCATGGGGAAAGCAAAAGAATTGTCAAAGGACCTGCGGGAAAAGGTAGTTGAACTGTATAGAACAGGAAAGGGATATAAAAAGATATCCAAGGAATTGAGAATGCCAATCAGCAGTGTTCAAAATCTAATCAAGAAGTGGAACATGAGGGGTTCTGTTGAAACCAAACCACGGTCAGGTAGACAACTAAACTGTCAGCCTCAACTGCCAGGAAAATTGTTCGGGATGCAAAGAAAAACCCACAAATAACTTCAGGTGAAACACAGGACACTCTGAAAACATGTGGTGTGGCTGTTGCAAGATGCACAATAAGGAGGCACTTGAAGAAAGATGGGCTGCATGGTCGAGTCGCCAGAAGAAAGCCATTACTACACAAATGCCACAAAGTATCCCGCTTACAAATACGCCAAACAACACAGAGACAAGCCTCAAATCTTCTGGCACAAAGTCATTTGGAGTGATGAGACCAAAATTGAGCTTTTCGGTAGGGCTGCAACAACTAATCGACATAATCGATTATAATCGATTATTGAAAAAGTTGTCAACTTTTTCAATCGGCCACAACCATAAATGCTACATTTGGCGAGGAGTCAACAAGGCCTATGATGAAAAGTCCACCATTCCTACTGTGACACACGGAGGTGGATCGCTGATGTTTTGGGGATGTGTCAGGGGCTTCCCGAGGCACGCGCGGCAGCATTCTGATACCTGCCGGCGCCCATCTTGGTGATGGACGCCGGCAGAGAGAGGAGGGGACAGTCACCCGGCGGGATAAGGTTTGCCGCCGGGTCCCCTCCTCTCTCCTGATACTGTTGGGCGTTCGGTCCATGACCGAGCGCCTGACTTTTCAGAGGGGGGTGACACCAAAATGACTGAGTCATTTTGGTGTCACCCCTCCAATGGTGTCACCCGGGTGCGGGCTGCACCCCCCTTGTGACGCCACTGGGATGTGTGAGCTACAAAGGCACAGGAAAGTTGGTCAGAATTGATGGCACGATGAATGCAGCATGTTATCAAAAGATACTGGAGGACAATTTGCATGCATCAGCCCGGAAGCTGCACGTGGGACGTACTTGGGCATTCCAACATGACAAATGATCCTAAACACAAGGCCAAGTGGACCTGTCATTGGCTACAGCAGAATAAAGTGAAGGTTCTGGAGTGGCCATCTCAGTCTCCTGACCTCAATATCATTGAGCCACTCTGGGGAGATCTCAAACGTGCAGTTCATGCAAGACAGCCCAAGAGATTACAGGACCTGGAAGCTTTTTGCCAGGAAGAATGGGCAGCGTTACCATCTGAGAAGATAAAGAGCCTCATCCACACATACCACAAAAGACTTAAAGCTGTCATTGATGTTAAAGGGGGCAACACACCGTATTAAGAACTGGGGTATGTAAACTTTTGATCAGGGTCGTTTCTGTTGTCATTATGATTGGAAAAGAGCAAAAACAGTTGATTGATAATAAATGGCTTCAGCCAAAGTCTACCCATGAGTGACAGAAAGGTTTTCGTGTTATCATTCATATTCTCTGAAAAATGGCCAGGAAATCATACATTCTGCCAGGGTATGTAAACTTATGAGCACAACTGTATATACGTATATACACACACACACACACACACACACACGTTGTTTTGTGATACAGAGACAGACAAGAAAGACACACAGCTACCACCATAGCTGCAAACGATCTCCTTTAGATCTACCAACAAGTATGTAGTGTAAGCGCTTGTCTGATTGGATATACATTGGTTGGATAGATTAAGTAGGTCCTCATACTACATACTTTTGATAGATATAAAGTTGATTGTACAGAGATTGTTCAGTCAGATTGTAGCGTGTACGGTGAGCCTTACTGTTTTAGAGGGCTGCAATCTACTAAAATGACATCACACAAAATGAGGTCCTATTAACAATACTACCGTATATAGATGATAAAATGTCTGACAACAAGAATGATACAATTAGATTTTAGCATTTACAATGAGAATAGATTTACCATATGTATAAATGACAAGACAAAATGTAGTGATACCAGGACAAGATAAAATAAGAAATAAAATGAGAATTTTACTATCATATGGATGTAGGACATCTCCAGGTGCAAATCCCCAAACCTGAGGCGCTCCCTAACATTCCCAGAGAAATGATCAATGACTAAGCAGAGTTCTAGAAGTACAGAGCTAGAAATAGAGAGACTTCCAAAGTAACCGTCTCCTCTCGGTTATAATGAACTGTCACTCGCCGATCCTGCTACTTCCATGGCTGTGATAAACATGATTCAATGTCCCTTTCTTAATGTACACCTCAATCTGTGTGATGGCGTAGTCCGGGCATACTTACATTTCCACCTCTCAGCAGCCAGATGTGGATTAGATGTCACACTGCCACGCTGCAGGCTCCGGGATGAACCCTTTATATGCTGGATAGGACTGACTAATAGCTGTAGGGAACGTACAGTGAGAACTTCCACAACGGATCCGCTCAACCCCTTCAATTTAAAAAGACAGTTTCTTGGGAAAACGAATCCTTCTATTTCTCTGTACCACAAACACTGAACTGCTCAGCCTTACCCAGACAAGAAGGGGTTAGGGTACTAGAATTAGAAGACCCTCATCAGTCCCACCCTTGTGAAAAATGGATCCATCGTTAGAAGGAACACCATTGCGGGATGTTAAACCCCCCTCCTGTCCAAGCCATTTGTTACTGTTTAGAGCTGCAGTACTTTGACATTTATTCAGCCATGCAATGCTTTACCGAAATATCAGGGAAAACTGGGGGTGGAGGCGATGGGAGCAGAGGGGGCAGCTGCACTTTGTCATCATACAAGTGATCGGGCCACTATAGTTTTTTTGCATTTAAAAAAAAATCACATACATTACGCATCCACCTGTCAGGAAGCGTCCGCCGTCCTGGCGGGTGGACGACAAGTGATTAATTTGCACTAACAGATACAAGAAGAAATCTGCAAGACAACAATATCTGGTAGAAAACACACAGAGGGGAATTTATCAAAATTGGAGCGGACATAATCTGAAGCAGTTGTCCTTCGTAACCAATCAGCTTCTATCTTTCATTTTCAAAGCTTAACTGAATATAGTAAACATAGAAGCTGATTGGTTGCCATGGGCAACTGCTCCAGACAGATTATGTCTGCTCCAAGTTCCATAAATTATCCCCACAGACTGGGTAAAAAAAAGTCAGAAAGTCTCTTACTTTTATTACTCTGTGCCTGTGAGTGTCTTTATTTTTCACTTGTGGTGACGTCACTGTGCTCATAGTCCTTTCATTCTCTCCCTCCCGTCTCTGTAACTGAATATCCATAACTCAGTACAGACTAGGACAGGAAGGGACAGTCTGCAGGAGTCAGAGCATTGTACCCACAATCCAAAATGCATTGCAGGCTCCAATGCAAACAAATCAATAAATGTACATTTTATTCTTGTATTCTGTGTGAGTTGAAGCGTGTATATATCAATCTATCTATAAATAGATACAGTATCTCTATATATAGATAGATATGTGCTATAGCAGAGGTGGGCAACCTTGACCCTCCAGCTGTGGTGAAACTACAAGCCCCATGATGCATGGCAAGACTATAACAGCCATAGGCATTACTCACACAGGCATGATGGTAATTGTAGTTTTACCACAGCTGGAGTGCCAAGGTTGCCCACCCCTATCCTATAGGAGGGTATACTGACACTCAAAGGCCCGCTGGGGACCAGTCTTACAGTTTATACAGTTAAAAGTGTATCGAAAGCCAAAAACTTTTTTTTTTTTTTAAACCATTTTGGTTAGAGTAAGGGCTGGTAAAAAAAAACAGTTTTCAGGTTCTTTTTTTTTAGCCATCTGTGTCTCATTAAGTGGGTTTCCATTCACTTCCTGTACTGTGCACCCAACAAGCAGTGAGGTGATATCTTTCCAGTGTAATGTATATCCTGTTTAGACAGCTGTCAAATGAACAAGTGTCCTCATTGGATGTTTTTCCCTTTTTTTCTGTTACAGGAGCAACCTAAAATGGTGGATTTACAGTCACTTTCATTCCCAGTGACACTGGTGATCACAACAATTAGAGAGAGTGAATGTGGACACAGGCATCACTAAAAAACTGGCAGAGGTCTCCTTACAGAGGTCTATCCTAATCTAAAAGTAACATTTTTGCCTTTAACTATACTTCAACTTGTGACTCCTGAATATATTAATGGTTTAATAGTAGCTGTTGGTGTTATACAAGCAATAAAATACAGGAAAAGCAGTCCTGGTAGAACAGCAGACAGGAGTACTCCATAGAACCTAGTACAGATGTTCCCTCTAGTGCTTCGCAGTGGGGTGTGCCATGACGCCAGCACATGCCAGCTGTACCGTTGTACTCTGGTGTGCGGGTGGGGGAGATGCGTAAGCCTACAGCGCCCCCCTCTGGTAGCTGCGTGAACTGCACCAAGCCTCTGTCTAAGTTGAATGACTTGTTAAAAATCTCAGTATAGAAGTCACGAAGTGCTGAAATGATCGGCCGCCTCCTGTGCTGTACATGTACGATCTGGAATCGATTTACAATGTATAGCATGGGATTGTTACATTTAGTGCCGTGATTCGTTATGCGGCCGGCAGCTGGTGATGTGATCTAACATGGAGAGTGATACATTGTAACTGATTTCCTGCACTCCGCTGATCTGTACGGTGTGTGGATGAGCTCAGTGTACGATCCATGCTTGCCTACATACAGCCCAGTGTACATATATAAAAGGAAATGTCATTACCTTAGTGCTGAGCTCCCTCCTTCCAATGATGAGTCCGGAGCCTCCTCCCTCCCTCCCTCCCTCCCTGCCACGTACACTGGAGGCTGGATACACAGCTCTCCATTCAGGACAGTGTACAGCCAACTTGTATGGAGGCCAATCCACAGCTCACTACTACTGACATCACTTCATCTCCCTCATCATTGCAAGATTCCCCACAGAGTCCAACCCAAAGACATTATTAGACTCTGTAGATCACCATTGCCCTTGTTTTTTTCATTTCTAGGCCCATCCATATATATATATATATATAGATCATTCCAGATTCCCATCTCCTCATTTGTCCCTTACCTCTTCCAGCATGGGTGCAGTTATGAAACAGGGATTCATCATGTGACCAATCGCTCGGCTTCCTGATTGGATGGTAAGCCACAGCCACGCTCCCTCGCAGCTTCCCAGGCACTGAGGACTGCGGGTGTTATGTGAGGAATGTAAGTGGCAAGTGCTGCTGCGCTCTGTATCACTGAGGCGGTCACATAGAGATCTTTCTGATCTCTCCACCGCCTCAGTGACGTAAAGTACAGCACCCGCTGTCTCGGCTTTGGTGTTGCGCTCGGGGTGATTAGGGGGTTCCCTGGCACCTCCTGCGCGTATGCCTATGTCTAGGCCACGTGCTCTGTGTGATAGTTTGACTGGCAAATATTTGGTCATGCATCACCGTACCCAAATAAACTGGACAGAAGATCACCAGCACTCACAAGGTTCAAAATGTAATGGAGTGCGGGTGATCTACTACAACACTACATGTACCCAAATCAATTCATACTTCTCTTTTTAGAGAGCTTTCTTTTGGTGATATTAACAACGGATTTGAATTCCACACTCTATAATGTGATCACTATGATGATAGTTTAACCACTTCCAGCGGGTTCACGTAAATGTTCGTCCTCCGCTGGAAGGACACGGCTGCTGCTGTACCGTTTTAAAAAGCCGGCGATTGCTCTTTAAATACAAGTGATACGGCATCTATGCAGGTGACGGATCACTTGTAGGGTGCGGTGCCATTTCCCCCTCTTTACCACCGCTGGTGCCGCCGCCGGCTTCCCGGGCTCCACTGTCGGCGTGGTGGGTCTCCCCTGATAGATCGGAAGAGAGCTCAGTGGCTTCCAGCCACTGATCTCTCCTCCGATCACTGGACCCGGAAGTGATGTGCATTACATCACGTCCGGTGTCAATGGGCTGTCTCCCGCTGCAGTCTCGGGCTGGAAGAAGAAGCTGGGGAAGCCGATCTCTGCTTCATCAGCTTATTTGGGGTCCCTAGGTGACATTAGGTGTCTGTAAGACCCCTGATGTCTCCATAAAGAGGATCTGTCACATTATATTTGCTATTACATAGTGGGCTTGTTAGCCTCCTATGCAAAAGTGATAAAGTTGAGTGTAAACATTTTTTTTTTTACAAATTAAAGTAACATAAAAAAAGCAACATTTTTTTTAAAGTCCCCCTCCCCCCACGTGCACACACATACAACGCAAACAAGCTTTGTATGTGCCTACGTGCTAAAACAAAAATTGCGCCACACATGTTACATATCGTTGCGAGCATCAGAGTGGGAGCAATAATTATAGGCCCTTCAATCACTGATAGCTCTAAACTGATGAGCCGTAAAAGTGTTTAAAGCGTCGCCTATGAGAAATTTTGGGTATTGTAGTTTTTTGCAGTTTCACAGACGCACGCAATATTAAGGCTTGACATATTTGGTCTATTTTCCTAATTTGGTCTATTTGGTCTAATTTATATTTTACCAAAAAATTGGTTATTATATTCTGTTTCTGTGCACTAAATTTCATTTTAGTGTATTTTATCCTAAAAATACTGGTTTGATAAACATTTGCGCAAATACCGTACAGCATAAACGTTGCAACTAGCATGTTTTTATTCTACAGGGCCTCTGCATTCAGAAAATATATTATTTGGGTGTCTGAAGCTGTTTTCTAGCCAAAAATTCAGATTTTATCGTGTGTGCGCAAGAGTAGGAAATTGCTTTGGGTGTAGCAAGTGGTTAAAGAAGAACTCTGGGTAACTTATGATTACCTCTTGCAGTGGTGCTACCCCTGCACTGCAGGGGTTAACTGTTCATTTTGGTCTAGGGAGGAAAATAACAAAGATATGCTCATCTGATCCTCGGAGCTTTCAAAGCGTTCCCTCCTGCCCGTCTCCTCCTACACTGCAGCATTGGAATGTCCCTCAGCATCCTCACATCCTACACATAGTGTATTGAATGTGAAGATTTACGGCACCTTAGACCACTGCAGTGGAGGGGGAGAGAGGCTCCTGGCACCGGTCTAAGAGCAAGCCGGCTCCGAGGATCAAGTGAGTAAAACTTTGTTATTTCCAGCCTTAGACTAGAATGAGCAGTTAACCCTTGCAGTGCGGGAGTAGCTGCACTGCAAGGGTTAATAAAAAATTACCCAGAGTTCTTTAACAGTGATCACCCCGTACAGAGCCGCCCAGATTTGCTCCATTCATCTAATGATGGCTCCGTACACAGTGATCAGCTGGCATAACAGCCACCCAAGGGTTTTACTCCAGTGATGTTGTTAAACGGAAGAAAAAAAAAAAAATACACTGGTAGAAAAGGGGTTAATATTTGTTTTCACCTTTTTCCACCCTATGACGCATCTCAGTGCAGCTGATTTCCTGAAGCCTTTTTTCAGCTGCTTCCATACGTGCACTCCAGTTTGATGTGCATGGTGTTTCTCAAGGCAGCTTTCCTGATGGGGAAACAGCGGGCACACCTACATGATGCGTGTCGACACAGCCACCTTTCCTTATAAGAAGTCCATGTGACAGAGTGACAACACAAGAGCTCAATGAAGAGATAGGGACAGAGAGTTGTCACCCTATTAGAGGAAGTGCCTGACTAACGACCTTTACGGCATTCTGAAGAAAAATGCAGATTTCAAAATGCTGAAAATGACTTTTGAAATGACAGTAACATGTTAATGCTTATATAGGATTCTAATGACTGCGTTATATACTTGAAGTCTATCTCTGGGGGAAAAAATGACTCTTGTAGTGGGGCTACCCTGGTACTGAAAGGGTTAAGTACTCACTTTTCCCGAGGGACTGGAGTAAAGCAAAGTTTTAGTACTTACCTGATTCCCGCTCCCGCCTGCTCCCTCCATGCTAGCAGTGGTGTATTTTGGTTTGGGACTGCCCTAGGCAAGATGAAACTCCGGCAATGCAC